CTATGTATCTATGTCTGCAAATGCTCTATCTATGAGAAGCCCTATTTGCTCATATATAGAGAAAGTTTTAAATAATATTTAGATTACAAAAAAAAACATTTGCTGTATATTTTCATTATTTTTATTTATTTGATATATGGGACAACTATAAAGTTATTTGGGAATCACAAAATATTCGGTTCTTCCCGCAACCTCCATCGAAGCATGATATCAAAGAGTGTTTTGGGACTGAAAGTCAGCAGTATTTTTTGGAAAACAAAAGTTTTATGACATAAATTAACCAAATCAGCCTGGAAATCAAAAAGATGAAATTGTATTCATGGCTTTAGAGTGTTTTAAAAGAAGCTTTCTTAGAATTGAGCTAGACTTTATGTATTGAACAAACTAAAGATGTTTTATTTATTTATTTTTTTTATTTATTTTTTTTCGGGTGGCCGTCTTTCCAATAAAATATCATTGGTCCACCCTTTTGTTTACCTTGTTTTGTTCTTGTTTCGTTTTTATGCTAATTTTATTAATTTAAGGTGACTTTTTTTACCAATAAAATTTCGTTTGGACCAACCCTCTTTAGTCAGTAGTGTTGCAGACCCGGCAGCGTGCAGTGCTGGTTTATTACTAAGTGGCCTTGTGCCAGACACCACACTAATCTACCGAGTCTACAAGCAAAGTAAAAAAAAAAATAAATATGTGCGTGAATGAACAGTGAGAGGAAAGGGGTCAATCAACAAGTGCATAAAATAAAATATATTAAGATAGCCGGAATAAAAATGCCAAAGACATCTGTTTATAAAAACATGAGTAAACTTTAATCAAACAGTAACACGTAACTCATCCCAAGGTCGGGATCAATGAATATGTTCCGCGCCAAAATAGAAATACAAAATGGCCAAAGGCGGGAAAAGAAAGTTTTATACAGTTCCGGAAAAAGAATGTGCGCACAGATAGAAAGGAGTACTCACTGTGGATATTTTAAGTTGTAAGTGATTATGCATATTTTTAATGTACAGGTTCAAAGTTATAAAGAATGACCGGTCGTCTCAGAGTTTTTTTTGGTGAAACATTGAATTGACCGCTGGTAAATGTTCTGGACTGCTGTGGGCATCTAGCCGGGAGAAACGAAGCATGGTCTTGTAGAATGATTTACGGCGAGCCCAAAGAGAAAGACGAAAAATGTTTTTGTTCAGAGGTAATATTGAATTGGCCGCTGGTAAATGTTCTGGACTGCTGTGGGCATCTAGCCGGGAGAAACGAAGCATGGTCTTGTAGAATGATTTACGGCGAGCCCAAAGAGAAAGACGAAAAATGTTTTTGTTCAGAGGTAATACTATCCCTGCCTGTATTATTTGGTTCGAAGCCAGGGTAAGTTTAAGTCACCTGTTGAACACGAAGTTTCTGCCGACGACAGTGTCGTGTGTCTCTAAAAACGTCTTCTGGTAGAAAACGGAGAAAAGGTCCTGACCTGTGATTAGCAATTTGTTCGTTCAGTAGGATATCCCTGCCTATACTTTTGTTAGGCCCCTGACGAGGGATAAAAATACGCCATTAGTTGAATACGAACTTTTGCTCACGACAGTGTCGTGTGTCTCTAAAACGTCTTCTGGTAGAAAACGGAGAAAAGGGTCCGACCTGTTGGCAGCTTCAAAAGGAGAAAAAAGTCTTGGTAGAGGGTGCAGTCGACATTGTTGAAAAAATAAGATATTCCGGCCCGCGTATGGGTTAAGTGCACGGAATAAATGAGTTGCCCATCCAGTCCGGTTGAAAGCTAAGAGGCAACTGGCTTGCAGACGCTGGCCGTTTGAAACGCCGCGAAACGCGCGGGAAAATTCAAAATCTGTTATGAGTCCAAATCAGTAGGAGCTCAAAGTAGGTTACTGCTATGTTTATCTGTGAGTGAAAGGTAGGGGTGAAAATACGCGCGCACATACGCACGAGTGTGAAAGGAAGGGAGGAAACTCGCGCGCGCGTAAAATATAAATGGAATTAATGTGTTAATTCCATAGTAGTACTCTGAAGATCCGTTAGGTGAAACATTGTTAATTAAGTTCTGGCTTACTAGGTTTATATATATATATATATATATATATATATATATATATATATATATATATATATATATATAGATAGATAATCATGCATTTGGTCAGCAGCCCATCTTTCACATGTTTCATTAAAGACGACTGACCAGGAACTGCGATTAAGCTTTTATTCATTTTTTTCTTGTATTCACATAAGAGATTTCTTTCATTATCATAAATTGTATCAGAAATATAGAAACGTGCTTTATATCTGAGCACTTTCGGCTATTATATTAGTTAGCTTCAAGGATGTTCTTTGAATTTGAATTTTTTAACTGAATGTGTAGATTCTGCTCTATGTATCTGGTGAGACAGGGATGTAGTGCCACGCCTACATTTCTTCAACTGTGATTGGTCGATTAATATATACTAAAAATAATAGGACAATTTGTCTATCGCATTTCACCACACTGAATTTTTTTCCTACAGTTTGCTCACAAACAAGTTTTGTTATAAAATCACCGATTGGTTCATTTTTCATCCAATCGAGTATTTTTCGTATACCTTCAAAATTTATCCCGCGTTCGTGCTGGGAGACACTGATAGTAATATAAATTCGGATGCATTCCCAAATCAACCAGTAGTAGACCACACAGTATTAGTAGAGTACAGAACAGAAGACAGTAGAACTCGACTACTCACACGTGTTGTTCATTCTACTCGCTCCGCACGCACACACAGACACAGAAATTGAGTTTATACACCATCAGTTCTCTGTGAACAAACCAAGTTAGTTACAAACACACAACTGTACAATCTTCTGAAGATACATTCTATCTTAACACAGAACTCTGAACTTTATACTCAGAAAAACTTGCTTAAAAACATTTCCTAATAGATAAAAGGGAACTACTTTTTTCTCCCTATTCACACATTATACAACTACCTTGTATTTATTGTTGATTTTAATATATATGTTTATTCGTTGAAACAAATTGGTTCTTCATTGTTTTTCCTTGATGTTTTAAAAAATTATGTATGAATGCTAAATGCTTATTCAACGCGCAGCCACATTTATCTATTCAACCAAACACCATCTACATTGGTAACCTCAACACAAACTAAGCAAGCATCCTACAGGGATGATTTTTTGTGTTGTTTTCATATTATTATTATTTTTTGTGTTGTTTTTATATTATTATTTTTTGTGTTGTTTTTATATTATTATTATTTTCCAAATACGTTCAGCACATAGTGTTCATACTTGAGTTGTTGTTGAATATAAGATCAGGTGTTTTAAATTTAATTTTCTTGTTCTGGTCGTCTGAGATTCTATTTATATAGATATGACGCTTGGCCCCGGGCCGGCTCAACTCCCGAGGTGGGATCCGGTCTCCTCGGCTGATCGTGTGACCGATCACTTCGAACGCACCCGTCCTACCCCACGTTGTGTTAAAAGATCGTAAGACAGGCCCGATCCGAATGGTCGACTGAGACCGAATATCACGGTTGCACCGGCCAGAGCAAGGTCACAAGGAAAAAGAAACAAAACGCAACTTGCTTAAAGAAAATAATATTTATATACTCTTACAAGTTGGTTAGTGATGTTACTGAGTGTTCAACAGGCAAATGTTTCTCATGCAGTAACTAGCGACCCCTTCCCGATTTATCGTAACGCACTGGTGGGTGTTGGTTTCAGTATCTTTGGAACAAGGCGCTAAGTCGGAGGTTTTCTACTTTCAGACGACAGGTCACATGGGAACAGGATTGGTCTTGTCTGTCAGCGTTCAGCTGCCTGCGTGTCCCTTCGGTCTGCGACTCCGAGCGTGTGTGTGTGTGAGTGTGTCGAACTCTCCTCGGCTTCTCATTTTATGGGGCCCAGTAAAAGGGCTGGGGTGGGCATGGTGTCTCTCTGGATCGCCAGCATACCCCAACGACCAATCAGAAGGCCTCCTACCACCGTCCGAATGTGGGGGGAGGCCTCCTTGTTCCCCAGAACTCTGTTGGCGCTCCGCCTCTCTGAGCCACTTGACCAAATAAATCTTCTCGTCACGATTCCGCTTGTTAGTGACGAAGCTCACACTGGCCTTTGGAGTAGATCTCAACTTCAGCACCCGGCGGCCACTTTTAACAAATAAAAATAATATTTCTTAATTAATTGTTCGGATGTCGGCCTGCGCCCGAGAATTGTTAACATGACTGTCAAGTGTCTTTGTTTCGCTTCACCGTGAACCTAACTGGCCGGTCCAAGGAAATGGTACTTTTATAAATCCTGTTCTAGCCAAAATTCACTCAAAAAGACAATTTGGGTAAATCTTAATTCCCGACGATCACTTTAGAAAGAAAAAGGATATTTTCTAATTAGTTGTTGACACGGTCGTCAAGTGTCTTTGTTTCGCTGCCTTCATATTTCGGCCAATTTTGTGCCTTCGTGGATCGGTCACCGCAATTGTCAAGTGGTTTTTAAAGTGCCTTTGTTTCGCCTCGCCGTTGACACACCCGGCTACTCCAAGGAAATGGCACTTGGTGAATTTTTGTTCAAGTCAAAATTCGATTTAGCAAAACAATTCCTTCTTTTCTTAATTCCAACCACCACTGGTCATCGTTCTAGCGAATTTCGTGTTATTTCTTTGACAATTCACTTATCAAAACAATTTACCTTTCCTCTAATCCGGCCCAGCGTCCCACAGTGTTACATCTCTCCCTTACCTATCATGTCTTTTACCTGTAAACGACATACAAATACCCTCCTAAATTAACGTAAGCCTGTTTAGCATGCAAAAAAAAATCCTTTCTTTCGTGTTAACATGCAATGTTTCAAATGTCTTTTCTCTTCTTCTGTTTTAACATGCAATGTTTCAATTGTCTTTTCTCTTCTTCTGTTTTAACATGCAATGTTTCAAATGTCTTTTCTCTTCTTCTGTTTTAACATGCAAAGTTTCAAATGTCTTTTCTCTTCTTCTGTTTTAACATGCAATGTTTCAAATGTCTTTTCTCTTCTTCTGTTTAAACATGCGTGGTAGGGGTGGGGTGCACAGCACCCCTAAAAAAAAGAAAAACTCAAAAAAAAATTATCTCTTTTTTTTCTTTCTTTCATGCATTGTGTATATATGGAGGCTCGCAGCACCTCTTACAAAAAAATTATCTCTCTCTTCTTTTTTTCATGGTCTGGCCTGCTTGGTCACCTTTCTCTTCTCCCCAATGGGAGGATTTTGTCTCTCGTTGATGGATGCCGGCTCTGGATTCATCTTTCCTGCTGAATCCAACTGGGTTTCTTTTCCATCTTGGTTCGACCTGTTTGAAAGAACACCGTACGACTCTCCCTCTTCGAGCCGCCGCGAACTCGCCAGAACACCATCAACCGATTTATCCCTATATCTCTTCAGCTTCCACACAATCATTACTATGACAGCAATAGTCATCAGGGTACCTAACGATACCGACCAGTGTAATATGGTCTGCTTAGTCGCACTTTGTTAACGATGCTTATTAGCTGGAAGTACTGCTGTACGAAGCCACTTAGTGCCTGAAATTCATTTACCACCGTTCTCGATTGGTTATAGATTTCCTGCCTCAATTCTCGTAGGTCGTTTATTAATCTATTGATACTTACCCTATTTTCCGTTAGCTCTAATCTCGTCACATTCAGTATGGACACGCTTTCTTTCGCTACCTGGGCTAGGACCTTCTGATCCTTTTCTACCCCCCCTAGTCTCTTTTCTTATAGACTCGATATCGTCGTCGGTCACTGTCCCGAACAAGACACCCAGGGCCTTTCCTATGATAGGAAGTACCGCCCTCTTCTTTCTGGTTTGTAAAAAGCTCTACCCCTTCAGATAATCCTTCATTCCCTTCCACTGAGCCCCCAACACTGCCGTTTCTAGCTCTATGGCGTCCAGTAATCTAAGGTATTTCTCGTCCCTGGCATATTTCTGGGTCACTCTGTTTCTTGCCATTCCCAGCTTAGCTAATTCATCCTCCATCTTGTCCAATAGCACCCCGTAGGATTTAAGTCTATCACGAACGTGACCAGCCATTTTGATCTGGTTATTATAACTTCACTGGTCTTCTTGAAAATCGTATTTTGGCTGTGTCTCCAGGCATCCATCATCATCATTATCGACAGCAGGAGTATCAATCCTTTCATACCAGCCATCCCTGCAAGGACAATAAAATTCCCCATTTACTCTTTTCTTGCCTTAATTCGGTCCATTCTTATCTGGTCTGTCAATTCATTCTTAACCAATTCCCAACTTTAACCTATCCCTCTCTTTACTAAAATTTTTTAGTGAGTTGATTGATTCTGGACAGGCGCACGGCGCTCTCGTCCCAAAGGTCGTGTCCCGCCGATACTACCGCCGGACACGCACGGGCCCTTGTGCGACCCAACGACAGCACCAGCAAGTAATTTCGACCCCGGTGACGCGCCATCCGCGCCCCTATCCCCCTCAACCAAACCCTTCTTGCTAGCCATGGCATGGGTCTTCATAGAACCGGCATTGTCGCGCGCTAACTTTTCCAAGACTGGAGTTCGCCGCCTCGCCCAGTCTCTACTCCCTTCTCCCGTAGTCGTTTTTGGAGTTGGGAAAGGGGTATCTCGTCCTCTTCTTCCCACTCATCCCTTTCCTTAACTTCGGTGGGCTTCGAGCCCGACCCCTGGTTCTCGCTACTGGGGCCTGTTGCCTTTTCTATAGCCTCGTGACGCCGATTGGCCGAGCCAGCGGCATTTTGAGGTTCTTTCGGGGATGGTGGTGCTCGAACCACCTCGTCTGGCGCATCGTTGCGGATTTCTATCTGTTGTTCACTTCCCTCTCTCTCGTCCTCTTCGGAGTCTTCGTCCGTCTCCATTTCCTCAGGCTCTACAAGGGTCACCCTCCTCTTCCGTGGCCCCCTGTCTCGCGATCTAGTAACCCCCCAATCAGCCATGTCGGCTAACTTTAGATCATTAGCATGGGCCCTCTTAACTCGCCCAGCCATCTGATCCCAGATCACAAATGACACTGGTCCTGTCTGTTCTACTATCCTATAGTAGGGTTCCCATCTCTGGTCCAGTTTCCCTTTTCTCTGGGGTATCTTGTAGAACACGGGATCCCCAACCCCTAGCTTCACCTCCTTCCTTCCTCTGTTCACTCTATCATTTCTTTTCTTTTGGGCTCTTCTTATCCTTCTCCTGGCCTGGGTAAACAACCTGTGCTGCTGCTCAATCACCAATTGATGGTGATCCTCACCCATATACTTCCTACGGGGTTTTAATAGGTTATCTACTGGCAAGACCACATCCCGCCCGTATAGCATATAGTAAGGCGAGAACTTGGAGGTTTCATTCATAGTGAACCTCACGGCCGCCAGGGCTTGTGTCAGATAAAGGTCCCAATTTTCAACGTTATCCTCGCCAATTTAGACAATACATCCCCAAGGTCCTGTGGAACCTTTCCACCTTGGCATTGCTCTGGGGTGATAGGGGAAGTGGTTATATGCATTATATTCAGCCCTTCCAGAGTCTCGGCCATCACCCTATTTACGTTCTCCGGCCCATTGTCAGTGACCAGTTGTACCGGAGCACCATACCTAGGGAATATTTCGTTCGCGACTAGGTCTGCAACTGTCTGTGCTTTCTTATCTGGTACGGCATAGGCCTCCGGCCAATTCGTTAGCCAGTCCACGAAGCTCACTATATATAGATTGCCCCTGGATGTCTCGCCGTACGGTCCCGACACATCCATACTAACCTTTTCAAAAGGAAAGTTTGGGATATCTGTCTCCTCTAGTGGGGCCGTCTCCCTTCCTCTACTCCGAGCCTGACATACCACACAGCTCTGAACGTAGCGGGTAACCTCGGCATACAGTCCAGGCCAGTAATAGTTTCTTCCCACCAGGTCACAGGTCTTATCGATTCCCATATGACCCAGCTTTTCGTGGCATTGCTCTAGTATCTCAGCCCTCAAGCCCCTAGGCACATACAGCCTAGGCCTCACCTCTTCATCCCTGCCTGATAGGTAATATAATTTATCTTCGTATATCGCATATTTAGAGGTCTCACCTGCCTCTACCTTCGCCCTGAGTGCAACTATCTCATCATCCTTCTGGCCCCGCTTGATCTCCTCTATCCAATGAGGGTCAGCCAACACAGGTGGGGTCTCTTCAGCGTCCGTCTCCAGTGCAGGACGGTCCCCCAGCCGATGAGAATTAATTACTCTTATTTGATAAGCTCGATCGTCCACCCCTGGTTCCACTCTTACAGACTCCGCCTCTAGTTTTCTGGGTATTCTGGATAACAAGTCGGCACAGGTATTGTCCTTACCGGCCAGGTATTCTATCCTACAGTTATACCCACTTAACTTCAGCGCCCACTGCTGAATTTTTTTGTTTGTCCATTCTGCTTCCAGCAGATACTGGAGCGGCTTGTGGTCAGTCTTGATAGTAAACACCGCCCCACTCAGATAGTAATCCAGCTTCTGCAGGGCATACATGATAGCGTATGCCTCTCGTTCTATCACCGGCCACCTCTGCTGGGTCGCTGAGAGCCGGTGGGAAAGGAAATATACTGGCACTTCCTCCGGTATGCCCGGCACTGGGCCATCCCTGTCCGGGCATGGTTGGGTAAGGACTGCCCCGATACACTGCTCACTAGCATCCGTGTAGAGGACCATGGGTTTGCCAAGGTCTGGATAGGTCAGTAGGGGAATAGCCGTTAACTGCTCCTTCAGGCAGTCAAAGGCCCTCTGACAGTCCTCTGTCCACCTGAACCGAGCGTACTTTTTGGTCAATGCTATTAGCGGGGTTGCCAGCCTGGAGAACGCCGGGATGAACCGCCTATAGTAGCCTATGGCTCCTATAAAGCCCCTCACCTGCCTAACCGTCTTTGGTTCGGGCATTTCCCTGATTACTTCTACCTTATCCAGATCAGGTCTGATCCCATCCCCACCAATTATAAACCCGAGGTACTTCGTTTCTGCCCTCAGGAACTGGCACTTGGACAGTTTCAGCTTTAGTCCATGCCCTTTCAGTCGGCCCAAGACTTGTTTCAGGTGGTCAAAATGCTCCTCTGGTGTTTCGGAAAACACCAGGATGTCATCCAGATAGGCCATAGCGAATCCCTCCATTCCACCTAGCACTATCGACGTTAACTGCTGGAATACCCCTGGGGCATTAGCCAGCCCAAAGGGCATCACCCTGAACTGGAACAGGCCCTGGTGACATGCAAATGCGGCCTTCTCTCTATCCGCCTCGTCCAAAGCCACCTGCCAATATCCCGATCTCAAATCAAGGGTGGAGAAGCACTTGGCCCTTCCCAACAGGGCCAATATATCGTCAATCAAGGGCAAGGGCACCGCCAGAGGCTTTGAAATGGCATTCAGTTTTCTAAAATCGACACAGAACCTGTGTCCACCATCCTTCTTATCCACCACTACTATGGGAAAACTCCAGGGTGACTTGGACCTCTCTATTATCCCTGATTCTAGCATATCCCTGACCGCTTCTTCCACCAGAGGTCTTTTGTGTATAGGCGTCCTGTAGGGCCTCAACTTGATCGGCGCCTCGTTGCCAGTGTCGATTTTCATTTTGACCGTCTGGGTCTGCCCCAACTCCCTATCTGAATTGGCCACCACACCCCAGTTGGCCCTCAACAGTTGTCCTATTCTGGCCCTAAACTTCTCAGGGGCCACTATGTCCTCGTCCTTACTTCCCCAGTTCTCTCGGGAACGTTTCCTCCTTCTCTATTGAACCTCACTCGCCGTATGGACCTCAGTGGTAAGGCCCTTCCTACCTCTTCCCCTTTCGCTATCTTAATTGTTTTGTTGGCCTGATTGACCAACATTATAGGCACCACCTCTGCCCTATTCACCACTGCCTCGCACAGAGTCACCTCGTCCTCCCCAGGATTGCACACCTCCCTCGGCGTCAATTGGACGATTCCTTCCCCATACTTCCTTCCGTGGCCAGCCTGCCTTTACCTGACACTGCTGTTCTAGGGGGTAACGTAATATCTTCGTCGGCCACTACCGTTATCGATTCCTCGGGTGTTTTCCCCAAAGGCGTCTCTACGCCATTTATTATCAACACAGTGGGGTGGAATTTTATGTGCGCCTTATTTTGATAAAGCCAATCCTCTCCCAGGATTGCTTCCTCGCACAACTCTGGCGTTACGTAAAAACTATGGACACTCTCTGTCCCTCCCACTTTTACCGGCAGCCTTGCTATTCCCCTTATAGCCATGGGCCTTCCATCTGCCTGACTAACCTTTATGTCAGGCCTTCTTAATTTCCCCTTCCTCTTGAGGCTTCTATATCGGTCCTCTGATATTAGAGATACCGATGCCCCCGTATCAATCAGGGCCCTTGCCGTCGACCCACCTATTATTACCTTACAGGTCAGCTCTCCCCCCTGGGTTAGCAAGGAGAACACCCCAGCCATTCTCCTTCGGAAGCGTTGTCTTTCTGTCCACCCAAACATGGGCGCCGGCAGCAGTGGCCCCCTACTGCAGTTGTCACAGGGGGTCCGCCGCTGTCTAGTGTTCCACCGCGGTGCCCCCTGGTAGACGTTTTTAGGTTTCTCCCTACGTCTTTCCTGAGAGCAATTTCCCTTCAGGTGCCCTGGTTGGCCACAGGACCAGCACCTCCTTTCAGGACATTTTTTTGAAAAATGCCCGAGCCAACCACACGCCCAACACTTCATCTCTTTCCTCCGCAACTGGGCCACCCTCCCTTCTACTTTTGGGGCGGCCCACCGGCGTTTCCCTGGTTCGTGTTAGTATGGGTACGCTTGGGGTCTGGCGCCTTCCGGTACCCGCACCATTTTTTTTCATGGCCCTGACGACCGCACCTTGTGCACATCGGCCCGCCATGGTCCGGGGGCAATCCCCACTTCGTCGGGCAGTCAACTGCTCTGTGACCCTCATAATTACAGGTCCAGCATACTAGCCCCATCCTGCCGGGTGTGGGCCTGTAGAACCCGCGTCCCAACGTCCACCCTTTTCCACCAGGAGTCGCTTCCCATTCTTCGGGCTCGACCTCCTGCTTGACCCTCCTGTCCCATGTGGGGGTTCTCTTGTCCCCAATATTCCTGTCTCCCTCCCGACTCTGCGCTACTGTTCCCTTCCCCCTAACTTTTTCCCAGATCCTCTGGCTATCCTTTGCCAAGGCAATAGCCGCTGAGAGAGTGGTTGGGGCCTCCTTGATTGCATCATGCCTGATGCGCTCATTATGCAACGCCTCCACATACAGATCCACCAACAGGGTCTGTATGGCGGCGTTGTCCCTGATCTCGTTCGTGAAAGCCAGGGAGGCCAATCTTTCGGCCCTGACTCCCAAATCTCCGGGGGACTCGCCTTTCCACTGGGTCAGCGTCATGAGGCTTCTCATCGCCTCGATTGCGGTAGCCTCATCCGCAAACTCCCGGATCAACAGATCCTCAAGCTCTGCCCAGGTCAACTCAGCATCCCCCATCAGGTAATTATATATGAATTCAGAGACCCCACCCACTGCCGCGTTGTATGCTAGATAGAGTGTATCTTTCTCAGATAGCTGGCATATATGAGCTGGCCCTTCTTTATTGTTGCTAGCCAGTCTTTTTAATTCTCTGGGGTTCCCCCGAAGGTCGGGGACCCTGGGTGCTCCTAACAGGCCCCTCAGGCTAGTTGTGCCCCGGTGTCCCGTCATCCCACCTTCCTCTACTAACCCTTCCGATGTTTCCGACCCCTGGCTACTCATGTCCCTAGTCAATTAGTGGAAGCAAAGAGAGAACAAGAACAATTCCGGCGAATTCTAGCAACAGATCGAAGAAAAAGGGAAAACCGAAAAGTGCCCTACCTGTCTTTCCGTGCGGTCAGCTGCGGCCTCTGGATTGGTCTGTGTGCGGTTGTTTTTTTTTTGTTTTCTTTTTTTCTTTTTTGTTTTTTTTTTTTTTTAACAGAACCGTACGGTCAGAAACCCTGACCAAATGTCTCTTGGTTCTATTTTCACGTTTTCTTGTGGTTTTTTTCTGGGTCTATCCTGGTCACGGCACCAGCTATGACGCTTGGCCCCGGGCCGGCTCAACTCCCGAGGTGGGATCCGGTCTCCTCGGCTGATCGTGTGACCGATCACTTCGAACGCACCCGTCCTACCCCACGTTGTGTTAAAAGATCGTAAGACAGGCCCGATCCGAATGGTCGACTGAGACCGAATATCACGGTTGCACCGGCCAGAGCAAGGTCACAAGAAAAAAACAAAACGCAACTTGCTTAAAGAAAAAATATTTATATACTCTTACAAGTTGGTTAGTGATGTTACTGAGTGTTCAACAGGCAAATGTTTCTCATGCAGTAACTAGCGACCCCTTCCCGATTTATCGTAACGCACTGGTGGGTGTTGGTTTCAGTATCTTTGGAACAAGGCGCTAAGTCGGAGGTTTTCTACTTTCAGACGACAGGTCACATGGGAACAGGATTGGTCTTGTCTGTCAGCGTTCAGCTGCCTGCGTGTCCCTTCAGTCTGCGACTCCGAGCGTGTGTGTGTGAGTGTCGAACTCTCCTCGGCTTCTCATTTTATGGGGCCCAGTAAAAGGGCTGGGGTGGGCATGGTGTCTCTCTGGATCGCCAGCATACCCCAACGACCAATCAGAAGGCTTCCTACAACCATCCTTTTTCCCCAGAACTCTGTTGGCGCTCCGCCTCTCTGAGCCACTTGACCAAATAAATCTTCTCGTCACGATTCCGCTTGTTAGTGACGAAGCTCACACTGGCCTTGGAGTAGATCTCAACTTCAGCACCCGACGGCCACTTTTAACAAATAAAAATAATATTTCTTAATTAATTGTTCGGATGTCGGCCTGCGCCCGAGAAGTGTTAACATGACTGTCAAGTGTCTTTGTTTCGCTTCACCGTGAACCTAACTGGCCGGTCCAAGGAAATGGTACTTTTATAAATCCTGTTCTAGCCAAAATTCACTCAAAAAGACAATTTGGGTAAATCTTAATTCCCGACGATCACTTTAGAAAGAAAAAGGATATTTTCTAATTAGTTGTTGACACGGTCGTCAAGTGTCTTTGTTTCGCTGCCTTCATATTTCGGCCAATTTTGTGCCTTCGTGGATCGGTCATCGCAATTGTCAAGTGGTTTTAAAGTGCCTTTGTTTCGCCTCGCCGTTGACACACCCGGCTACTCCAAGGAAATGGCACTTGGTGAATTTTTGTTCAAGTCAAAATTCGATTTAGCAAAACAATTCCTTCTTTTCTTAATTCCAACCACCACTGGTCATCGTTCTAGCGAATTTCGTGTTATTTCTTTGACAATTCACTTATCAAAACAATTTACCTTTCCTCTATACAAGTATTCATTGGTCAATCACCTTCAATCTAGCTTGCTGATTGGTCAGTTCCGACCAATCAAACCGCCTGCATGAATCTTTTTTCCCGCGTTCTCCATTTGAGCCTGTCATGTTGTACAACAAAATTATAAAAACAGAACACGTGCAAACTCCCTCGAGTTTTCTTTTCATTCATCTCTCTCTTGCAAGTCTCATTCCCTGCTACCAAGTGCTAAGATGTAATCTTCAAGAACTCCCGTCTTAGCCATTGCGGTCAGACGTTAAGGACCATTACCAACATTCACGCAAGTACAAACTCTCTTCTGAACTTTTACCAACTTTACAACTCACAATTCCAAACTTTATTCTTCTAAATTACAGTTTAATATTACTTGCTTTTAATATGAGCTCAGATACAACGATTACCTAATCAAAGGGACACGATTCTGTCCTACCTTTTCAGTTCGCATGCATGTATATCAAACATTAATAAATTCAACTGTTATGTTTTGAAATCATTCCGTTCAGTTTTGTATTTTATACTATGTGCTATTTACGTCAAATAAAAGTTACATTGCGTCCACGCATTGTCCTTAATCCCACCTTTCCTAGCCAAAGTACAATAATGGTAACACTATCGCTACACATTCACCTCACTTGGAAAATATGTGAATCCATTTCTCAACCACAGCCATGGGTTAAATTGTACTTAATTTAGATTGGAATTTGGGTGGCAACCAGGCTAGAAGAAGGGTAACTCTAAATTCAACAACCGATGCCGCCCTGCCGTAGAACATATATCGACAAGATCATTGAGTTCTGAATGGTTACGTTTTTATTATATTTCTTTTACTTCGGATTAGATTTGTTAACTTCAAATGACTTTGTTTAATTTTTATTGCATTTTCCAATTTTCGAATAATATATTTTTCGACTGCCTCAGATATTAAAAAGAACCGGGTATTGTCAGTTTGAAAGACAAGATTCCTTTGATGATCGGTATGACTATAAATTACTCTCATTTTCTACAAGTGACAAGTCAACCTACGAGAGATGTGTGGCCAATATTAAATTTAATGCTTTTTATTAATTGTTGATATTAAAAATGATTTTCCTAGAGTATAAAAAGTATATATTATCTCCCTTTAGTAGATAACTTCTGCTGATAATAAGAAGAGTCTATTATAAATTGATGATAATGTGTATAACCCAAAATTAGGCATGAAATGGGATTCGAGCTGGAGAGTGCAAGAACTCAGAGCGAAGAGATGTGTTTTTGCCAACTCCCAGAATAGGCAATGCTGTCCACGAGCTAACTTGAATGATGTAAAGAAAAAGCCGCAAATAGAAGCAGAATAAGAACAGCATTCACAGAAGACTTTCATTTATTTCAAACAGATATGTATTTGGATTTCGTCCAAGATGCCTTGACATTTAACCGCTAAATGAATCTTCTAGTCTCGTTTTCGTTATATAATGTGTTTCTTGTATCAAATCTGTTTTTACAGTGTTCAATTGTCTCATGTTATTTATAAATCCAGGAGTCAATTTGGGAAGTTTTTAAATAGTTGGGAATAGAATTCATAAAAATATTGTTTTTACAAAGAGTGTTTTTTCGGTTCCAAGTTATTGGTTATAATTAGGTTACATAGTTTGAAACTTTCATTGGAAAAGAACAAAATCTAAGGCTGTCATCAGGATCACTGGGTGATATTTACCAGTGAATTTTATTTTTAATGGCATTTTATCATGTTTATAATTAGGATGCATCTAGATAAGCACAATTAAATGATGTTGTATTATTAGTGTTTATATGAGAGCAACTTATTTTGTTTTTTTCTAAACTTCTCTAGGGCCAATTTTATTCTATCGACGACGTGATATATATATATATATATATATATATATATATATATATATATATATATATATATATAATTCAACTCAATAATTTCTGACGAGTCTAAATTAATAACGAAACATGTCTAATTAATAATAATTCTTATTTTCTTCGATCTATATGTCGGATTAAATCCATATATCTATCCTATATATATATATAGAGAGAGAGAGATAGATAGATAGATAGATAGATAGATAGATAGATAGATAGATAGATAGATTGAGTTTATAGATATAATATATGTGTGAGTGCCTGTGTTATGTAAACCATTCAGTCATTAATGTATTCTTCATATTATCACGAAGAATTAGCATAAAGTCCCATGCAGCAAAAATAAGACCATCACAGAATAAAACATGAATGCAACACTAAGGGAGCAAACTCTAATATCTTATGTAGAGTTTTTGTTCTTGGATTTGCATGGTGAAAATTTTTGAATACGAATTTCGATATTACTTATTAAATATTTATTTTTTTACGTATACTACTTTATGGTGAACATAAGTACGAATTTCTAAGTGCTGCTTGTTTTCTGGATTTCTACGTAATAAACTTATAGGCAGAGAGGAATTTAATTAGCTAGGGTTTTACATTCCAACTATAAATGTTCAGTTCTGTTGACCTATTCAAATTTCTATTTCTCATATTTCGACCGCAATAATGGACAGCCATACCATACTGACCAGATTGTTTTGAGGTATACAACTTTTAGTTTACCTTTTCTGAATCTATCCAAAGTAGCTTTTATCATATTCTTCTGTAGTGTGAACCTTCAGGAAGTGAGACATCATGGCTCTCCCCAACGTCTTATTCTTCTTAGATCTTAACAAAGTTTGTTTTCTTACTATCCTTCCCACTCATATCGACATGCTTGTTAAATAGGGTACACGCTGTTCCACACATACTTTTTTGTTGTGGCCTTCAATATGTTCTGTGAGTCTCAAATTACTTAACTGTTTCATTCTGACTCTAATCATATGTATCTTTTGTTCACCATTTTCTTAAAACTTCCTCATATCTCATATCCTCTTTCCATGATATTCTTGCCTAATGGAGCAGCTAAATCTAACTATAACCTCATTTCATAAAGAAACGACTTTATATCTATCAAAAGGCTGTCCATGAGTAGATTGGTGATGAGGTAACTCCGATCCTTTTGCTTTTTACATGTCACAAGTTTTCTCTACAGACAACTACATAAAACATAAAATAGCAACAAACAAATCCTTCCCTAACAAAGTCAACAATCCGTAGGAAGATAGCTGGCGTATCTATTCTAGAGGCTGTTACATGATAGATGTCTTCGTCTAATGTTTTTTGAGACCAGGTAAACGTTACATGACATTTCGTGTTTGAATTCACTTTTTATTTTCTTATAGATTGCCTCCACTACGACAAATGACCTCATATGTCCCATAAAAAGAAGCTAGTTAACCTTTTAAGTTGTAACACACATTACATGTTAAAGCATAATTAAGTAAATTAACAAAAACTTGGTCATGTATGCCATATATTTAAATAAATTAGCAAATAAGTCAAGCAGCTCAGATCCTAGGAACCGACAGCCAGACACCAGGATATATGATATGATCATAATGGTGAAGGCTTTTTTGAAAAACAAACACACTTTTTGAAGGGCCAAAAATATCGACCTGGTGCACTACGTGTCACAAGGTCCCCAAACGACCCTCCGCAGGTTTTGAATTCAGACTTGTCTTCTCTTAGACCAGTTACCATCCAAGGCTATAGAACCCAGTCTGTCCTGCTATTTACCCTGGAGGGGGGAAGAAGGGGATTAATAGCTTATTGGAATTCGAACTCGGCTCTCCGATTACTCAATATATATATATATATATATAGAGAGAGAGAGAGAGGGAGAGAGAGAGAAAAAGAGAGACAGAGACAGAGACAGACAGAGACAGCCAGACAAAGAGGAGGTGTGCGCGATGGATTATTTGTTGTCTAAATTACGCGAAAATGAAAATAATGCTGACATTTCATTTTAGGGAAAAATAAATTAACTCTGTTATATATGCTGCAGACAGGTTGCTTTTCATTGTGTCAAAGTGTCATTTTGTCAGTGTTGTCCCATGAAGAGATATACTTAAATATTTGAAGAAATGTGAGGGGTGTACTCACTTTTGCGATACACTGTATATATATATATATATATATATATATATATATATATATATATATATATATATATATATATATATTGAAAAAATGTCGATCTGTTTATGATTTATATAGTTCTTTAAACTTCCGACTGAGGTGTTTTATGTCAGGAATTAAATCGATAAAACGACCTAACTTAATGTTTATATGTTCGAGTATATTCGAATACGTTCGACAGCCACGACAATCGCTATCAAGAATTATGAGTAATCAATCTGTTTATAAAAATGGTATTGGCAAATTCCGGCGTTTTTGTCTTCTAGAATTATATCAATTAAAGGTGACGTCAACTG